GATGGTGATGATGGAGACAAGAAAGGAAAAGGTCCCGAGAAGAAGGGAAACCAAGATGCGGAGGAGTCCAGGCAAAGATGAAGGTGAAGATACCCTGGATATTTACGGGGAAGAAGAAAGAAAGTATTTTCCTCTGGGAAGCAGCAATAGACACCTACCTGTATGCGCAGAAAATACCATATGGACCCTGTGCTCATGGCGAGTTCGTGTCTGTCAGGTGATGCAATTAGTTCCGTCATCTCTCTAAGGAAAGAGGGCGACTGTAGGGCCATGGTTCAGTATTTGCAACATATGCGCATAGAAGATTTCTTCAAGGCCCTGAGAGAAAGGTTTGAGGACAACAACCTTCCCATAGGACAGAGTCCATGATCCTCAACATTCGTGACCGCAAGTGGAAAAGTGCGTCAACACTCAAGGCCACCATGGACGAGTTACTACAATGTCCGGACCACGGACTTACACCTCAGCAGCTTCCAAATAACTCTGCTAGGGCGCTCCCAGATCCCATAAAAACTCAGTTATATCCCCCGCACGAAGGAAGAGGGAATGACCTCCGAGAAGTTCAGCAAGATCGTTGTGGATCGTGCTGGCTTCCTGCAGGAGGCACAATATTGCCATTATTGGAAGGACCTACAGGCGGGAAAGAAGTGGAGAGATCGAATGATCTCCGGTAATATAGCAGGGAAAGATAACTTACTCGTCACCTTTGAGGAAGGAGGTGTCGAGTCACTAACCTATGACTAAATAGACTATGGATTAGATGAAGATAGCAACAGTCACTTAGCCCAGGGAGGGGACTATGCGACTGTTGCCGCCCGCGGGGGAGGGCGACAAGGAGGCCGAGGTTGTGGTAGAGGAAGAGGAGGTCGCAGTGTCGAGCACATCGGCCCCCACGTGAGCGAGGGCCCTCCCGGCCGCGTCACGCAGGAGAAACTTGGGCTTTCAACTTTTTAGAGACAACTTGGGGACAACACGGTAACCCGCGTCGACCCTTCGTCGCTCCGACCGAGTGCGCCAACTGTACATCCCGCGGTCCGCTACGACAGGATAGGTTCTCGCGGGCCACAACTTACCTTCCCTAAGGGGCTGTCACCACCCTTAGGGGCGTATCCCTGCCAAGCATCCGGCCCACGTGCAAAGGCTTTTATGATGCAATTCCAGAGGTTGGCCGACCGAGGGCGTTTGCTCGTTCGCTATAGCATAGGTACGCATAATTGAATGCCAAAGCGAACCCGATCGTCGTTCGTCCCTAGGGCACTGATATCCCAGGAATCGGATCGATGTCGGTCGACTAGGACGTGATAACCTAAGCGTAAGAAAAACTTTGAGCGATAGTAGTCCCTTCTTTCAAAGACAATCTGGAGTTGATCAGACAAAACACTTTCAAAAGAAGACTCAGATCAACGTAAGTTGACTTATTTTCTGAAATCCATACGTACATATTGCAATCATGCCTACCACTCGTTCATATCAAATCGACAAAGGTTGACTTGGCTTGTCATTCAACGACGAGCCATGATGAGTTGACTCGACTTCAAATAACACTTGTCACCAAAAGGATAAAAGCATGATTAACATGCATAGCGACGCTTGAATATCGTCTGATCGAATCATGTCTACTCTACCTGCCAAATGGCTGGCTGACACGACTTTTCGGCTTGATGAGGTGCGTTGCCAAGTTCTTTCATTCCACCCCATACTGACCGCTAGCAAAGAAATGCTGACATCCCAACTTCGAAGCGAAGTTAAGATGCTATCGCTCTAGTGATGACTACATTTTCACTCTAACTTCGGTGTGTATGCTATCTGCAAGTAATCCGACTACCACTATTTAAGTCAACGATCGACTTGAACAACCGAACACTGGATGCCCCATTAAGGACAAGGACCCGCGCTCAAATTTTGTTGGTTGCCTTGTTCTCCTGACCCTCATTGACCCTGTTGGGAAGGGTCGTTCCCGACTCTAGCTATCCAAGCCTTGCTCGCCATATCGACCCTATTGGTCCTCGCTTCTTGTGGCGAGGCCAACTATGACAAGAGTGTCAAGCCGGGCTCTGTTCGAACTAGTAACCATGAATCGAGCTTCTTATGGCTTAGTTCTCCATGCACGAGTAACCCCTAAAACGGCCACTAGAGGGGTATGGTATGGCAGTTCTTAAGGCTTTTCATGAGTAGGCGCATGTCCTTTCCCTAGGAGGTGGTCTGAGATACCCCTCGTCCTCGCCCGAGCGAACCTCGGATCTCAAAAGTCAGCCTGGCTCCACCACAACAGCATGGTATCCCCCCGCATAAGCGGTCCATTCCGAGTCGATAGCAGGGTCGACCCCTAAGGCGACGAACCCTCGCCTCAGATGCCTCCTAGGAAAGGGAAAGACGTCTACCACGGCAGACAAAATAGTCCCTTGTTTCCTAACGTCAAGGGTAACTTAGACGAAAAAGGAGATCACAGGAGAGAAAATCATTCAGACGGACAGGCATAGACAGAGAGGGTCATTCGGGAAAGAATGGGTAACCTCGAAAAAAAAAAAAAAAAAAAAAGTCTATGTCCAATTGATTTCTTTTTTTTTGTGTGTGTGATCAAGTTCCGGTGACGTCCGGATCGTAGCCATGGAAAATAACAAAAGAAAAAGAAAATACGTACCTTACTGCAGAAAAACGGTCGCTCGTTTTCACGGGCGACTGACTGTCTAGTGCACTGGGGCTTAAAACGCCCCATTTTTTTTTTCCCCCTTTTTTTGTCCCGTTCGTTCAAACGAACGGGTGCTTAACCAAAACGCTAGACAAAAAGAAAAACCAGAAAAAAATCTTTAAAAAAAAAAATCTAAACAAAATCTAACAAAAAAACAAGGACAACTTACCTCGTTTGTAGAACGGTCGCCCGTTTTCACAGGCACTGTCGCATCCACTGGGGACTGAAGTACCCCGTTTTCACAGGTGACTGTCTAGTGCAATGGGGCTAAAAACGCACCAGTCACTTCACATCGCGCCAGCTGGCGCTTCACGTTAGTTTTAAGTTTAGTTTTTTTTTTTTTCTTCCTTTCTTTGCCCCGTTCGTTCAAACGAACGGGTGCTTAACCAAAACGCTAGGCAAAAAGAAAAAAAGAAAAAAAATCTTAAGAAAAAAAAAAATCTAAATGAAATTTAACAAAAAAAACAAAGTGCAAGGAAGATGAGCAATAGCGAACTTCAGCAATCAAACAGCATCATACATATGAGTCCAGATAGTCGTGACCTCGAACCAACAGCAGAATTGCATCACGAGTTTCACCAAATAAGAACACACCAAGAGTTCGTAATTGACAATGCTGAAATAGACCCATCATCATCATCAACGAAGAACCAGAGTTGATATCCTATCGGGCGCTCGGCGCCCAGACTACATGTGGCAGATCCTATCTAGCCTATACTACAATGCCGAAGTTGACGACAACAGCTCTCCCGAAGTACGAGCATACAGCAACCAATGTCGCACGCTTCCAGCACCAGGTATGTCTCTCGCCTTACCCACAACCTCGTTCCCCAACACACAAATGCCACTAGCACCCAAGGACCACCCTGCCCCACACCCAGCTTACAGCAGCGCAGCTCGGCTATGGCTGCCTGCTCCTTCCCTGCTCGCCCGTGAGCGCGTGGGCGCCAGCCAGCAAAATAGCGCAGCAGCGCTTGCGCAACATGCAGCCAGCACCCGAATGCCGAATGAGGAGGCAGACCCTTTGCTATATCGAAGTGGCCTGCCTGCGTCTAGTCCCAGGAAGCTTCCAGTAGGCCCTGGTAGCCTTAGGCCCAGCACGATCGAGAACAGACCTGGGGCCTGATACGGTTGCATGCGCCTAACTGCCTTTCGCATGTGTTTGGCCCAGTACCCGTATCCAGCCCAGGTCCTGCTTTCCATACATTCACACAGGCGGCTCAGGGCCTGGATTCTCTCAACCAACTGGCGTTGTGCAACTGCCTGAATTTCCATAGTTGCGCAGAGGCCGAAATAAGGCCCTGAGGGGCCTCGTCGAGCCAGCCTTCACTTAGGGCGGCCGACAGGCTATCAAAAAGGGGCCGAATGGGCTCATAGACGCAGTGGCCTCGCATTCCCTCCTCCTTAGCTTCAACAGTCCTCTGAGAAGCTGAGTCTTCGACCATCGGGCGCTTTCCTTTCTGCATAGTTTTCTCATAGTGGGCTACAACTTGCGGCGCGGTCTGCATGAGTTCTTCTCTGGTAAACCAACAGTCCTCCTTCAGATCAGTATGATGTTGGAACCGAACGCGATACTGTAGCTTCAGTTACGGAGGACGTCTCCTGCCTGTAGTCTGTGGAACCGGCAGCTCGCGGTGATCAACAATATCGTCGATGTCAACCTCTCCATCCATGGTTGGGGGCAGCATTGAACAACGAGATGGAAACTGATCTGTTTCCCTGAAAGGTGCAAGCTTGGAGACGTGGAAGACAGGGTAAGTGCGTAAGTGACCGGGGATACGCATAACATAAGATGGGCCATCCGGTTCATTTCCCACGACATCCAGTACTTCCCATGGTCCAAAGTACTGTGGCATAAGCTTGCGGGAGATCCCGTGTTTCTGTCCCAGTTCTGAGGACTTAACCCAGACTCTCTCTCCCACCTGAAACATAGAGGGGCGACGGTGTTTGTTTTCAGACTCTATCATCGCCGCCTGTGCCTTGTGCATCCCACCTGAAACATAGAGGGGCGGCGGTGTTTGTTTTCAGACTCTATCATCGCCGCCTGTGCCTTGTGCATCTGTTCAACAGCCTGCTGCATCAACTGCTCATATCAATAAGCAAATTCTAAAGTCCGAGGTGCAGCAGTTGGCTGATTGTCAGGTAGTGGAAAGTCTAAAGGCAGTCGGGGTCTGAAGGTCAGTAGCAGGCTGTTAGGACTGACTCCGGTTGCGCTGTGCACAGTGTTATTGTACAAACTTGCAATGAGAGCAAGTTTCTCATCCCAATCTACCCGATTTGGCTTGATGTAGTGCCTTAGCACGTGTTGTACAGCGCGGTTCATTGTGTTCAGCCTGCCCGTTTGCCTCAGGATGATTGCCCAATGTCATCTGCAGCTGAGTACCTTGCTCTACAGCTGCTGCTTTCCACAACTCACTTGTGAATCTGACATCCCTGTCACTAACTATGGACTTAGATAATCCAAAGTCTCTAACCCAATTCTCTTTGAACATCTTAGTGACATACTCCGTTTTAGTTGTTGTCGGCATCGCTACTAATCTAGCAAACTTACTAAATCTATCCACAATGACGTAGATGTAGAGCATTCCACTCTTGCTGGTGATCAGAGTATTCATGAAATCCATGGACAGGCTCTCACCAGGCTTTTCCGGAATCGGAAGCGGCTTCAAGATCCCAAGAGGAGCCTGTGTACGTGGCTTGTCTCTCTGACAGACTTGACAAGTCTCCACGAACAGCTGAGCATCTCGCATCATCGTGGGCCACCAAAACCGCTGCAGCAGATTAGTTGCGGTCTTTTTGTACCCAAAATGCCCGGTGGCATCATGACACTCACCTAAAAATAAACAACGCAAAGACTCGCTATTAGGAACACACAATCGTTTATTCCCCGCCTTCTCAAGGAACATCAAGCCATTGATCAACTCAAACTCGGCAGAAGTTTTCTTGTCCTTCGCCTGAAGTCTGCGTATGATCTCAAACATGAACTGGTCCTTCCACCAAGGACTGAGTAACATTGTCCGTCAGATCGAACTCAGTAATTAGCGCACCTGAGAAATCAGGCCTACGCGACAAGGCATCAACAACCTTGTTGTCCTCCCCTTTCAGATACTGAGGGTCAAAGTCATACTGCTCAATGACTTCGATCCAACGCTTGAGAGCGTCTGAGAGTACCGGCTGAGTTCTCATCCATCTCAGGGTCTGATGATCAGTCTTGAGGATGAAGAACCTCCCAAGGAGATAGTGCCTCCAATGGGTCAGAGCCTTGTAAACCGCATAGAGTTCCTTCTCATAGGTGGACTTAGCCAACTTCTGAGACGACATTTTCTTGGACATGTACTCTACAGGCCTCAACTTTGGCCCGTCCTGCTGCGAGAGCACGACGCCAATGCCATATTGGCTGGCATCCGTGGTGACTATAAACGGCTTATCAGGATCAGGAAGTTTCAAGACCTCGTAGTGCATCAACGCATGCTTCAGATGTTTGAAAGCAGCCTCGCACTCATCTGTCCACTCCCATGGGGTGTCAAGGCGAGTCAGATCAGTCAAAGGAGCGGCCACTATACTATAGTTCTTAACGAAGGTCCTATAGTAGCCTGTCATTCCTAAGAAAGATATCATCTCAGTCATAGACTGAGGACGTGGCCAATCACGAATGCTGGCCACCTTCGCGTCATCGGGCTTCAACCCTTCCGCGGAGATCTCATGACCCAAGTACAAGACACGGGTGCGACCAAACTCGCATTTCTCACCGTTGATCTTGAACTTGTGCTGTCGCAGGAGACTAAGGACTTTGTCCAAATGTGCAACGTGCTCCTCGACAGTCTTACTAAAAATAAGTATGTCATCGAGGTACACGATGACAAACTTATCCAAGTAGTCATGGAAGATGTGATTCATAGCATGCTGAAAGGTGCCAGGAGCATTGCAAAGGCCGAAAGGCATCACCACAAACTCGTACAGACCGTACCTGGTCTGAAAGGCGGTTTTGTGTTGATCCTCGGGCCGGATTGCAATCTGATGGTACCTGGACTTCAGATCTGTCTTACTGAAGTACCGACACCCTTGCACTCTATCTAGCAGATCATCGATGCGCGGTAGGGGCTCTCTGTTCTTTACAGTGATGGCATTGAGGCCCCTCTAGTCAATGCACATCCTAAGTGTTCCCTCCTCCTTAGGTACGAATAGAACTGGAGACCCATAAGGAGAGACACTCGACCGGATCCAACCCTTCTCTACGAGTTCCTTGAGTTGTTGGCGAAGCTCATCGAGCTCGCTTGGAGACATTCGATAGATCCTACCCTTCGGGATGCTAGACCCTGGGATAATCTCTATCGCGTGGACGACCTCCCTCTCTACAACCCCTGTCGGCTCTTCAAATAGATCAGGGTACTTGGCAACTACTCCCTCTATCTCCGGCGGCATTTTCACCGGCTCGCCTGCAGCAGAGACATAAACTAGGTACATACCCTCCTCCTGATTTTGCTTATAATAGTTACAGAACGTGGCCGCACACATGCATCCATGGGACTCGATCAGACTACTAGCTTTGAACTCGTGCAATCTGGCGGTCCCTCCACCTGGCAAAGTGTGTTTGACCACTTTTCGGTCCCAATCAAACTGGGGCTGAGCCACAGAGAGGTAGTACATTCCTAGTAACATATCCATTGGGAGCTCGTCACTCACTAGGAACGAGACGTGATGTCTCAATTCCCCTCCTGTGTACGGGAAGCAACACAACCTCCTGGAGGTAGTCGTTGACTACCATGCGCTGTTTGTTGGCACAGGTTGACTCCACAGGTCGACTCTGGCGCTGCACTCGCCTCTGTAAACGCAGCCTCTCAACGCACGCACGACTAATAAAGTTCCTTGTCGAGCAAGTGTCATAATAGGCCCCGGCCTTGCAGCCGCCAATGACTACCTCGCTGACGAACATCTCACCCTTAGGGGCTTTGACTAGGGCCGTCCAAGAAGCTAGCGGGTCTGATCTAGACCACTCCTCCTCTAGCTCCTCTAAGGATTCAAACACATTCATCGAACAGAGGCTCGATGGGTCTGAACGTGTTTGCGAGACGACGCTGGAGTCGGTAGCTTGGACCATCTCTCGAGATGGTGAGGGTGTCTCCACCACCTCGACCCTAGTAGGAACAACTATTATTCCTAATGGCCCGACGTGTTTCTCGAAGCAGAGCTTGAAGTGCTGGCTACATTGCTACCAACGGAATGTGAGGATCCTACCGCCTGCCCCATCGTAGGCGGGATCTTGTCAGTCACCTTCTTGTTACGACACTTAAACTGATTATGGCCGTATTGGCCACAACGAATACAAGTCTGTCGTGTGTACCGATCTCTCCACACGTCCTCTGTGAGACCTGCCTTCTCCCATGGGGGAGCATTGGGGTCAACTTGACTCCTTGATCGGGAGCCTCCGTGGCGTCTACCGGTCGCCTTAACTTTCTGAGCCACGACAACGACTACTCCACCCTCTGAAGCTTCTGCGCTGCCAGCCTCTGAACCTACTCCTTCCTGGAAGTGTTCGTCTAATTCGATGGTTGAACCATCGTTATCGACAAACATAATGCGCCCTTTCGCCTTCCAGTTAGGAGGCAGTGTCTTCCTCCTACCATCCGTAGTGGGTGTTTGTCCATGCCCTATCTTCGCCTCAAGGTCTAGGGCCTTCTTGCTAAACGAAGGAAAGTTGTGCATATTGATGTTGGCCTCACCTGCCAACTGGTTCCGGAGAGGCAAAGAGAAGCATCTCAGGTACGAGGTGAGTAAAACCTGGGGGTCATAGCGCACCCCGGGGACACAGATCGAACGCTCAACAGCGTCGGTGGCTTCCCTTACTGACTTAAACTGCCGCGTGTGCTGTGTCAGGATCGCGTCAGTGGCCCTTTGGGCCTCCTGAGGATCATGCCACCTTTCCTCCACCAGCTTAAGGAAGTCATCCATTTTCTGGGTGACCACCCAAGCGCGGAAGTCATGACCATACCCCTGGAGCTGCACTAAACCACTCAATCATCTTGCTGTGCTACCCTCTAGGTAGGAGGCAGCCACAAGCACTTCTTTGTGCGGCAAGGTAAGTATACACCTAACATAGACTGGCACTGCCCTCAACCACGTGTCGAGGTCGTCACCTCTCTTATCCCCTGTAAAGGGTTTCGGAACGACAATGGCCGTCTTTGGAACCCACTGTGTTTGTCCCGGTCCCTACATTACTCCATGCTGTGGACCCTGTGACACAGGTTGCTGTGCCAGCTGCTGGGGCTGTGTGCCCAGCGGCTGCACAGGCTGCAAGACAGCAGGCTGCGTGGTGACCGCAACCTGCAACGGAGATTGGGTGAACACTATCTGTACAGGAACCTGCAAACTGGTTCTTGCCGATACCCCTCCTGATAGCGGCATGCCCAGGGAAACGATCGCAACCAATGATGGGGCTACGTATGGGGATACCCCAGTCACCGGTGGGACAAAAGGAGGAGGATGTACTACGGGCCAGGCACCAGGCCCGGACATTGGCGACGTAGCCTGCGCTTGCCCAACCAACAGGGCCAGTCTTTGCAGGATGTCCTGAAGGATGGCTGTCTGATGGTCCTGCATCTCCACTACATTCAGCAGGACGGACCGTACGATCCTCACGTCATCAGTCACGTGCATCAGGTCCATCTCCTCTAACTGACTAACGTCCGCTTGTCTATGTTGCATCCTGGCTCTTCTTCTAATCATTCTCTCTTTCTCCGCTTTTATATCTCCTAACGCCTTCTGTAGCTGTGCCTCCTGCAATGCTGCTTGTTGTATGGCGATCTCATCGGACGTCAACACTAGTGGTTAGCTTGCCATTACGCTAGTGGACTGACTCTGGGTCTGCGCGACCGTTGACCCGTCAGAACCTGAACTACCGGCCTGAGTAGTCTGCTGCGCAGAAGTGGCCATGGCTTCCGAAGCTGCGGCCTCACTCACAAGTGCCCTGCTAGCCTCTGCTGCTCTAGCCCTCCTCTGCTGCTGCTGCCTCTTCCTAAGCTGGCGGAACAGATATCTGTCGCCCTCTGTTCCTAATGCCAAGTGGGCAATTGGGCGTTTAGCTGATCGCAATATCCTCCGGCCGTCCTCTCCAGTGTCCTCCTCGTCGCTCATAAGCTACAGCCCTGTACACAATCTGCACTAGTGCACTCTAGATGCCTACCTTAGCTTAGTGCACAGACAACTGGTGGCTATTTCAGAGACTTTTCATTCGGGTCAACAGGTAAGTCAGATTCCTACAAATAAAACTATTTTTAGTTTGACTAGTCCGCAAACAGAAGCACCATGAACAAGAAACTGTTCTAACGAATGATGTCTGTCAGATGTCAATGGTTGTACACCTAACTAATCAAAACATAAAAATAGAATCATTTGTGTGGATAGGACAACATGGAATTTTCTCGAACTTATCACCTGGAATTTACCCCTCCCTTAGTTCCCCTGAGTATCACTTGACGTCAGCGTCCCTGAGCAATCTGGAGAGCATCGCGTGTCTAAAGGTGTGTGTCCGGCCCACCCCTGTGCCCCGAGTATCTGTTGAGCTGGCCTGCCCTGCACAGGAGTATCCTCGCGTGCAGCTAGCCTTACAACCATTGGCTGATCCAGAGGCAATTTAACGTCCGCCCCCAAGTGACTCCAGGAATTCTTTTAGGCAGCAGCCGGACGACGATCACAATCAATGGTTCCCCTTCTGGTGCTTATTTAAAGACGCCCGGTCTCGTCTCCCTTAAGGGCTGGCCTGCCCTTCAGTACCCATCTAACAGCGCAGCAAGCCGAACAAAGGACAAGCAGCAAAGCATGCGTGCTCTACTCCCGGTGGGTTGGCATGGTGACCGWGAYCCAGTGCTTCGTCCAGGGCCCTTCAGAAAGCTCCGCCCATMTTCTCCCAGATGCTCCACGTGAACATTGYCGACTCTCAAGGTTGAGCGCAYTCGAYWCCTCACAATGAGAGRACTCTCAAGAAGGAACACACAACCTCACGGTAAGAAGTGTCGGAGAGGGTAGATAAGGTTAAGAGCAACGTACCTCAAATAGCTGCCCCCAACCACAAAGATAATCTCACCAGATGACCAAATGCCGATTGTGATGACCAGTCATTGCTTCGGCACAACCAGCATTGCACGCCGTTCCACCCCAACACCAATCACACATTAGATAGTTCTCATCACACTGTCCTGTCCACATTACACATCTCGTAGCCTTCCTGGCGATCCCCTCACCTCCTGGGTCGCCTAACACTCGCCTCCGCCCTCCTCACTACACACCAATTACGGCCAAACTCGCCAAGCAGACCGCATGCATGTACCACATTAGGCAGAAGACAAGCGCGAGATGAGTGCAATCGTACCACAGCTCCGATACCAAATTGCAAGGAAGATGAGCAATAGCGAACTTCAGCAATCAAACAACATCATACATATGAGTCCAGATAGTCGTGACCTCGAACCAACAGCAGAATTGCATCACGAGTTTCACCAAATAAGAACACACCAAGAGTTCATAATTGACAATGCTGAAATAGTCCCATCATCATCATCAACGAAGAACCAGAGTTGATATCCTATCTGGCGCTTGGCGCCCAGACTACATGTGGCAGATCCTATCTATCCTATACTACAATGCGGAAGTTGATGACAACAACTCTCCCGAATTACGAGCATACAACGACCAATGTCGCACGCTTCCAGCACCAGGTATGTCTCTCGCCTTACTCACAACCTCGTTCCCCAACACACAAATGCCACTAGCACCCAAGGACCACCCTGCGCCACACCCAACTTACAGCAGAGCAGCTCGGCTATGGCTGCCTGCTCCTTCCCTGTTCGCCCGTGAGCGCGTGGGCGCCAACCAGCAAAATAATGCAGCAGCGCTTGCGCAGCATGCAGCCAGCACCCGAATGCCGAATGAGGAGGCAGGCCCTTTGCTATATCGAAGTGGCCTGCCTGCGTC